CCAAAAGCACATTCTTCATTGTGAGATTTCGTTGAAAATCTAAAAAATAGATGTAAAAACGACTTGGTCTAATAAAAAATTGTTGTACATGAAAACAAGATACTTACAGTAAAACCATTTAAATCATGACTAAAATACATTTATTCCATCTGGTAAAATAAACAACTCACGAACTGACTTTGTTACTATCGAATCTGTTCAGTGTATGTACTACTCACCAAATACTGTAAAAGCGAAATGTTTAGAGAGTTTGAAATGTTCGCGATGTGGCTCTTTAAACTGATCATGGTTTGAAACGTCTCGCCATGGTAATGGTTTAAAAAAATAATATTCCTTATGTCTATAATTTATCGATAAATAGATATTTACATGTAGATACATTTCACTTATTTACTAAGCTCGAAAATTGGGAGCATTTTCTAATTTTAAGGTATGTGATGAAGAAAAGGGTCTGCTGAAGTTGCGACCTTTCCAACGAAGTGTCATGCTTAAAATGCCAACAAAGAAACCTGCATTTGTTTAACTTTTCCAATTCCTATTGCCCTGATTAGATGGATAAAGGAACCGAGGCGTGATCAAAGGATGTAACTGACAGGATAGCATACAACAAAGGCAAACAAGATACATATTGTATATATCATATCCAACCATTGATATGGTTCCTTATATCTTAATACGTCAACGATTGGGCTCTAGCATGATCACTCTTTGATCGAAAGTTGACTCGGAATTGATTTTGTTTTAAGTTTGTGTCTCGATATTCATACGTCCCGACTTTCCACTATGTCATATTAAGATTATTGTCTTGGAGCACAAGTGTGAACATAAAACCACAAAAGAAAATGCAAAAAATAAAAAATAAAAACGAAAATAAAAAAAACATAAATAAAAAAAATAAAATCAATAAAAAACATAAGGTATCCGGCAGCTAACGAGTTTTGATTTTTTACCAACTTCACATTTTTATCCTAAAACTACGTAAAAATGGTTTTGACTTGCGAACGCACCTACATGTAGCTATTAAAAAGCCTATATCTTATATAATTGTAGGAGGATGTTTGTACTATACAGCTCTACATGAAAATAAGCATAAATTTAAACTAAGCCAAAGAACGCTCTATAGCAATTTGTCTCTAAAAGCAATGCTTGTACATAGTGCTTTATACTAAAATCTTTAAATAAATATGATACAATTAATTATTTCGTAAACGAATATATACATGTATTACACGTATAAGAGGTACATTATATTTCATATTCATTTAGTAGTATATATGATAAAAGAACTTACCTTTGCTTATATAGTAGACTTTATATCATCAACTCAGCGTCGGACTGACCAGTGTATCAAAAACACGGGGAGTTATGTGTGTATTTGCCCTAACCGGACGAACTGTCAGGTCATCAACGCTATCATTTTAATAGTGACGCATGCGTCATTATCAAATATTTACATCTCCGTTGACATCTGATGTTAGATAATCTACCTATCAAAAATATCGTTATATTCCAATAACAAACAAGAACTATTGCACGTGAATCTTGTCCAATCAGAAGCCGTTCGGGTCATTCCGTCACACTGTTACAGTAACTGGGGTAAATCATGGCGTGACAAAAGAAAAATCAATTATGACGGAAGTTGCAGATCTGCGTTTTAAATTATTTGTGCGATTTATCTTATCACAATTTTAATTTCTTAGCAGCTTCAAACAGTATTAGAAATGCGACATTGCTTTGTTACCCAGAGATAATATGACAGGAACGTCTCTACAAACACAAGCTTTTCATCGGCGTTCCATAGAAACAGTGAAAGACACACTATGGTAACACTGGACCTGACAAATCAATCTCTATAAAACGTAAAATTATTGTGTCCGATTTCAATTTTCTAAAATACCCCTTAAAGTTTTTATATGCAATAAAATCTTTATTAATTATAAAACATCAAGTTAAGTATCAACTTTAGACACTACAATGTGACGTGTTTAGTGTTTGAACTATGGAAACACATATTTTATGTATTTATTATATCATTAAACTTTTTAAGCAAAAGTAACCAACTTTATTTTTGTGTCAATCGATCAAGTGCTTCGTTAACGGAAACGACCTCTTTTCGTAATGCACATGATCGATACGCATGCTCTTTGAAATATCTTGAATGACCGCCGAAATTCAAAAACAAAACAAAAACATGTAAAATGACGAGTATCTGATGTGCTCCAATTTATTTGAAATATTTTTGTAATACAGAAAGTAAAAAAATGTATAAACTGATGTTTTTTTTGTTAAAAGTGTTATTTTTTTGAACTACTAATCAAATGTATATGGAAACTTTAGTATCGTGCCGTATTTCGAAATCATTATTCGATATTTTCGCCATAGTTTGTTCTTTGCAACCAGGGCGAATTTATCATGACAACGAATTTAAGTACACAAAATCCAATATGTAGTAATTATATGCAAAGGGCGAAATTAACACTTGGCGAAAGTGGAATTTATCAGTGAAGACAGAATATTTGACAGGGCAAAGATTTCCCGGTAAACAGTATATATTAAGCTTTCGCTTCAGCACCGCAGCACTGTGTGTAACTCTCTTGCGTTTTATTGTATCCAAGTTTTCGGGAACAGTCGGCACATTCCGTAAACGAGAAAGTACGGAAAGTGCCGATGGTTACCGAGTGGTATTAAGTTCAATATACTTACGTAGGCTTAGCGACAACAGACTGTTCTTGTTTGAAAGGAGTTGTGACTACGCTTCATTTGACATTGTTGTTTATTTCTATTAACGGACTTTGTCAAATGCGTCATTAACTTGAACATCAAACTAACGGTCGCTTTATCATGCACAGGAAGTAACAAAATGACACCTTTGACATAATTACGGAAGTAATTTAGAAGACACGTGATGCAATGTGTCATCACCATTCACGATAGAGATAACCCGCTAAAATGCTATGTTTTGTTATGTTAATGATTTCGGGCTGTATTATTTATCGCTCAAGCGTTTACGCTGAAGTTTAATTTTATCAACCCGCGTTTTGATATTTTTGTTTCTACCCAGAGTTGTCTTTCCTGACACTCGTTATTTTCAACAGCTGAAGAAAAGACTATTTGCAAAGATAAATTTCAGTCACTTTTATCTCATCATGTAAGTATTGCAGCCTGGTTAAACGAACTTGGCTTTTGTATTTTTGTAGCAAAACAAAATCTCCAGAAATTTACATTTGAAAATAAATTTTACAATGGAAAATACTAGTGACATTGTTCTAATCGGCGCAATAATCCTTCCGCCAAATTATTTAATTTAAGGAAAATAAAAATTGTCAAAATGACGAAATTATTACTGAATTTTCGTTTTCCAAATAACAGTTGTGAAGTAAACAATTTTATGTTCTCTGTATTTCTTGCTTGTAGTTATAAAAATAAGTAAAGAGATCCCAGAGGTATATTACGACCAATCCCTCAATTCTCTAGGATCCTCAGTTCCCCTGGAATATGTCATAGAAAAATTGAAGGCACGTGACTACCTATTTGGGGTCAGGTAATAAAACCTGACCAATCGCTAAGGCTGACCCTTGTCCTTAAAAGATAATAGAGGAGCGACACCCCGATTTCAAAGCCAGTCAATTTTACCGTTACGCGACTGACAGATTCTTTTGATGTACATGAAATGATCTAACTAGTCTTTTCGTCTCATCTAGAAGGTGGTGCACATTGAGTCTTCGTTTTGCTATGACATATTCCAGGCTAGCAGAGAGCGTAACCCCTGTAGTATCGAGGACGCTTTGCGCCCACAATCGTCATACTCGACATCCAGGGGTTACGCTCACTATCGCTCTCTAAACCCCTTGAATACGTCATAGCAAAATTGAAAGCACGAAGATAGCTGTTTGATTTATCGCAGGTAAAAAAATCTGACCAATCGCTCAGGCTGATACCTGTCCTTTGAAGAATACAAAGGAGAGACGCCCGACTTAAAAACCTGTCAATTTTTACCGTTACATGACCGCGAGATTCTTTTGATGTACATCAAAGGATCGAACTAGCTTACTTGTCTCATCGACAAGGTGGCGCGCACGGAGCCTTCAATTTTGCCTTGACATACTCCAGAGCATGGTACAGAGCGAAAGCTAGCGTAACCCCTGGATATCGAGGATGACAATCGTAAGCTATTCATTGTATGTACGTTTGATCTCTCCTCTACGTCTTTTCCTCTATGTGCTCAATTGAGTCATGTAAACAGGCATTGCATCTTGTTGTGCCATTTGAATAAAAACTTCATGTGCTGCTATGTGTAACATTGTCTTTTCAAAGTTCAACATGCAAAACTAAAGATCAAGATGAACCTTCACATGAATATTAGAGAAGGCGTATTTTGTTTCAAAATTTGAATGCCTTAGGTATAGATTTAAATGTAGGGATTCTTTTGTTTGGCAATCCGGTTCGATCGGTAGACCTTTTACTCTTACGTTTCTAGACATGTGCATCACTTCATCAAATCCAGCAAAAGATTTTGAAAGGTGTTTTTTTTAAAGTTGTGTATTTGTACCTGGGGGGAAGGCCCAATAGGGACATTCGTATGAATTTTGAGAAATATCCGTTTAGTACTTCTTGAGAAATAGCGTTAGCAATTGACGGACGACACTACGACGGACGGACGGACCACCGAAGAAGGGAACACAAAACAGCCCAGCATGTGAGGATGGTGGGCCCAAAATAACGAAAAACGTGATACATTTTAAAAAATTTGTTTATTCAATAATTTATTACATGTGTAGCGACACCCATGAATGGGTGACGCTATGTATTGTCAATATATTTTTGTATTTTTAATACATTTTTTATTCTATCGAAAAAAACATCCATGTCACGTTAGGTCTTTAATAACATCGTACTATAAATATTAAATAAAATAAACACATTTTTTTTTTTTATCACAATTCACTTTCCTTGCGGAATTGCATATTTTAATATTCTCCTCCGGAAAGTGTATCTGACTAAAAAACAAAATCAAACAGCAACAAGATGTAAATGCGACCATTACACATTTAAACACACTTATCTCTGCGCATGCGTGAATACATTTGCACGTTCTATCTACAATGAGGTCATAAAACGGGGATTATCACTTGATCTGGCAGTCTTGATTTTATACACGCTTGAATTGGGGTAACAAAATGTTCAAAAATCGACTAAAATTGATTGAAATATATTCAACATAAAATGACAACTAAACTTTGCTGTAAGTACATCAGAATAACAGATGTAATATAGATTGCTATCTGCATTGTCATGATTTTTTTTTTGTTCAATCTGATATTTAAGTGATCTGTCATAATTATTTGCAAATTAAAATCCAGATGGGATATGTTACGTTATCTACAGTAGTTCAATATAATTTTCCATTTCAGATCCCGCACATAATTTAACATCGATTTATGGCGGAAATTAACGAGCAGTTCCGATGATTAACGAAAATTGCCGAAGACAGAATCTGTATAGATGCCAATCTATTTACAATATCCCCGGAAATGACCTCGAACCATTTTTACTTCAAAAACTAAATCAGTGAAATATTTTGCTAACATGCATAAACTTACATACAATACATCATCTACAAATAGACCAGGTCAACTTTCATTTTTCAATTAGAAATATATGGATTACAAACAAACAATTTAAGAAAATTCTTTTTTTTTTTTAGATGTAACTTACATAATGTAACATTCTTTTTCAAATACCGGTATAAAAAAAAAATTGTCTAGCATCTAATGCAAAATATGACCTTTTACTTACGTAACGACAATCTTACCTTTGGCATTTCAACTTATCATGTGACACATACTTTTCTTTCAGTGCACTTATCGACATTTAACAAAGACACCGTACATTCATTATGGAAAGACAGCGAAATTAATTTATCATTATCTACTCCCATGTTTACATTTAACTCATTAAAAAACAATCGTCACATTAGAAATAAGTTACGAGTATATATATCTTTATATAGATAATTTTTATATAATATATATGTTAAAATATATTAATGAAATGAAAATCCTTCTAAACAGGGATCACAAATATACGAACGATCATATTCGTCTATCTAACACACAGAGTTACCTCCCTTCCTTTTAGTTTAACACTTGAAACTTAGCAATTGTGAACATGCATGTACAAAATCTTATTATGCTATTATATATTTTTGAGTCAATTTAGAATGATTCTACTTAATCCTTAAAACTTTTCCAAAAATCCAAGGTGCAATATTTTATATTCAACAATTATTTTCTGAAGCTCTCTGCACCATGTACACCTAAAATCACAAATAAACCACTATATCTCATATCAGATAAGTATGAATATTCATCATGCTTTGATATTTTTGCATATTTATCTGTTTAACCGAACCTCGATTATGCGGAGACTTTTTTTCCACCACCCATCCGAAAGGCTGATATCTTTATTAACGAGATTACGCCTATGTTTCAAATAAAATAAAAATAGTGTTTTCCATTTTTTTCTTTTTCTTGAACGAGATTAAAGATGTTCGATGAAATTACAATAATACCTGAAATGGCATCTAAATTAGATTCCGCTTAATATCATAATTCATTTCATGTAATTAATTAATTGAAATATATCGAAAGATACTTTTTCATCACATTATTCTAATTTTATTTTTTGCTTATTGAAATATTTTATATCACCATCACAGAAGTTTAAACATAACAAAACAACTTATATACGAAAGACAGATTTTTGGGAAAAAAATAATTAAAAAAGGGGTAGGGGGATACTTCTGTTCGTACGATAATGGATTCAGATGTTACTAATAACACAGTAAAGCCATACAAATACCAACTATTGTCTCTCTCAAACTACTAATAACAATACAAATACAACAATATACCAAAAATCAACCACGCAGTTAAACAAATCAATACCCTAGTGTATATAAGGAACTTTCTATCGGGACTCTCATTGTCCATTAGAGTCTTTTAGCGGACATCCAAGAATTACCAATCTCCAGCCAGAGTTGTCTTTCCTTATATAAGGGTTCCTAGCTCCGTTTCAGAAAAACGAAATTGGGAACCGTATACGACCAATTCCATTATAATGCATGATGAACAGGAACTACGAGAAGAGGTAGCGACGTATCATATTGATTTGATCAAGTCCGATAACTCTGTATAATATATGGCTAGAGTTGTCACGTTTTATGTTAGCACTTATACCTAATGGTACTGTAATCGACATCCAAAGAACGAGCATGCGCACTGCAACACAAACTGAATAATCATCGTTTTCCATCGTCATACTGTCGAATGGCTTTTGAAAGTCATACTTAACAACTGATCAGTGCACTTTGGTAAGATTGAACAATCTACAAAATGTAGGTAACACATTTTCGATGTCGTCTGCAATTGTCTCTTCAGCACACTGTGTGATCAATACGAAAATAACACTGATTCATAACTTTTCTTTTCAAATTTGTACTCCAGTGCCTATTCAACGCACTTGGACGAATGCAGAACAGTTCCTGATTGTCTTATCGATACAGGTTACTTTTCATTGTCTGATTAGCGCGATTTTATGATTCTACATTCATAACTTTTTAACGGCATTCGCAAATATCTATTCAGCACACTTTGGAAACACTCTAGACTGATCGTACTCCATCGTTCTTCTGTCCAACTCGGAACACCTTGCCCCGATTCCAGTTCCTTTCATCAAAGATGACCGAATCGGCCGAGGTGTTCCGAATGTCTGCTGCCCGACAGATGTCCACTGTTGTACAGGTCAGTAAAGAGCGAGATTTTATCCTGAGGGTCGTGGATAGCTACCTTGATTAAATGAGACTTTTTTTCACTGTTAAAATATGTTTTGATAATGGTAAAGTAAAACCTGTCAAAACCGATCCCTTGAACATTTCGACCACCCGTCTTATTCATTTTTATTGAATTGACCATATAATACCTTCGTTTTTCCGAGTTGCTGTCCAATATGACCATAGGGTGTCGGGTAACACAGGTTCCACTGTATACAACATTCAACCATAGACACTTATTCATTAATATGCGGGTCACATTTATCTATAAGATCTATTTTTTTTAATCTATTTATCAGTCTCTACCTCAAACACACACACACAATGTAACGTATAGTATATATTGCGTAAGTCAATCTCTATCTACCCTCGATACAAGGGAGGTCACTCTCATGCTAATCCTATTTCCACTTGGAGCTCGACTATGTCCATTAAACACAATTTACCGGGTTTCTCTCCGCGTATGATTTGGTGTATATGGTGATTCCTCGCCTTATAAGGCCTGTCCTCCCGTTGTAACAGGGTTTTAGATATAAGATAATCTAGCGCTGTCATGCGCACTCCACCGGGATTTTCTGCAACTTCGTCTCGTAAATTCGTTTCACTGTGTTGCACTTTGGACTCGCTTGGTCTACTCTTTCCGTATCCTATATAAGTTGTCTTTTGCCGGCTAGGGCATCTTTCACGCTTTTCTGCTTCGTCAATTTCGCGTATCATGTCTGCTTTTAAAGAAGAAACATCGTAACTCGGTTTGACCTTCGGACGTGTTTCCTTGTCAACGGGCGAAACAGAGGGAGACGGAACGTCCATATTTTGTCCAGCATTTGACTGATTCCTGTCGTTTCCGGTTATGACGTCACATCCTGGACTACTGCTAGGCGAGTTCCTTGTGTCGGGGCTGACGGCTGCTGTGGTCTGTGATTGGTTGATATTAAATGAGCTGCTATTTGACGTATCCTGAGACAAAAGGCGACCCGCAACACGTTTCTTAGGTAAACGTTCCATATAACTTATTGTTTTGCTCCGTTCACGTTGGGCAACATTATTGTCATTTACTGCGGAGCTTTCCTCCGTCATACTGACATCATAGGGTTCGATTATGGCAGATGGTGAGACACGTTTTGGTGTTCTAAAACTGTCCTCGTCAGGTTGGACCTTTTTCTCAAAGCTGATGTTCGAAGGAGAATGCGATGACGACAATGATGATGTCGACGATGAAAGAGATGACGTAGGAGAAACTGACAACGACGACGATGAAGATGTCTCACCATTTTCCATTGGAAATCCTGGACGAAAGAAACGTGTCTTAGGCGACACAGATGATTTTGAGCTAGATGATTCATCACAAGGTGCTGATTTTGTCACAGTATGTCTACATTCCTCAACTTTTCTCCTTTTTGGATGAACCACCCCAGAATTTTGACTAGCATCATGAATCGGATTCCGTTTATTCAAATACAGTGAGCTTGGTTCCATACGCATTGCGTCAGTATAAAATCCAGGGAGGTATCCGAAAGGCGCACGCGCAATCGGCGCCATAACATTTCCAAGATGTCCGAAATGTCCGAAGTGCTGGGAAAGACGGATATCTATTGGTGGCACGTGCCTTAACGGGCACGCGCAGTTAACGTAGGGACATATGACGTCATCCGTTTCCATTTTATTAGCCGCAGGGCTGTCTGAATGTTCTCGTTGACTTAGATCTAATGGCTGCTCCATATTGAGATCTATATACCACCGTGTTTCGGAGTTGGATTAAAATGAATGGCTGTTGATGTTCCGAGTCTTTCAAATGAGCCGCCTAAAACATATAAAAATAACAAAATCATTTACAGAAACAACATCTTGCATCTTTTCCTAACGTTAGATTGTTCCCCTGAGTTAGGCTTACGTCCTCCCATTACGTAATTTGTAATTGATTACATTTTGTAATTTAACGTAAGATGTCCGTATCTCGAGAGATGTGCCGTGAATTTTTTTCGCCATGTCTTAAAGCCCATTGTGACGTCAGAATTCAGATAAAAGACATGACGTCATGATATTGTGACGCATTCTTGAAAACAATTTGCATGTCGTCATCATGATGTGATAAAAAGGATCTTGTATTTGTTTCTATTTCATGAGATTTATAAAATTCGTCCCCTCTCCTTGAAACATCGCTTAAATGAATAAATGAATAACATATATAAAAATAGCAATAACTCGTTTTGTGAATTAAATATGAAATTGAAACTCATTAAAGATTCTATATTAATCATATCATATGTTCATTATCAGTGTGGTAACACCAGCATGTATATAGATTTTCGATACGTTTGACGTCATCAATTATGACGTCACAAGACACAATTACGAATCATGAAGTCACAAAGTTACGGCAAATGCAAACTGATGGCGTTTTAATAGATTCGGTCAAAACTCAAATTTCCCTAGGGATGCGAAGATACATTTTGCGACGATATATCGCGATATTTTGAATACGGTACGATACACAATATTTTTGGGAGATTACGATACACCTACGATATTTTTCCGGATTTTGACGTTTCTGAATTTAGTCTACTCAAAATATTTTCAACATGGCGAGTGACAGCTCCCAATCGGTATGCACGTCGAAAGACGTGAATTATGTGAAACGTTTAAGTCACGCCCATTTTGCACCTAGTCTATTTCCAGTTGTGATAATGCAAATAAAACTATGCAACATAATTTTCTCTCTTTGCTTCTTCTGTTACTATATATATATATCGTGGTATGTATCGTATCGTCATGTTATTGTACAAGTCTAGCAGCGATAATAAGTTCGACGTTATTATACAAAGAAGAGTTTGACTTCACACACAAGATTTTCACGTGCGACACCAAATTATCAAATTAATTAACCTATTAGCACTTACAGATGTACGTATTTGACATTATGTACTTTTCTCCAATAACATTTCACTAAAGCACGCGGCGTTTTTCTTGTCAATATCGTTATCATTAACCGTTAAACCACGGATTTGAATATCAAAAGCATTGGATAAGCTTCTAAGAATTATGAAATAGTTTATGACGTAATAAACACATTTTGTCTCTTTATAATGGAGCATGATTTGTGAAAGTTAACAATGTGCATGTCTCCCTCATACAACGGCAAGGCGTGTTATTATTTGTCCAGTGGAAAACATGGTTCACAAAGGGGATAACCATCTGCGTCGCCTTCTACATGTGCAGTGCGTGTTCTTATATTATAAGAAGCGCATGGTTTATCGAGGGAAACAAATATGCATGTCTCCTTCAAACAGGTATGATAAAAACAAAGGGTTATCGAGGATGACAAATATCCATGTCTCCCTCCTACACGGTCAATCTGTGTTCAGCTGCCTAAACGCACGTGAATATCAAATTGTCTAACAGAAAAACAAACACAACACTGCTTGTTATACCACCAGTGCCCTACCTCTAGACCCACTCCACTCCTTAATGAATCCCAATCCAAAAAAGGGCTAGCTACCCCATGGTGTTACATATGTAATATTTGTATTGACGAATGATGGGTTTATCGACGGTGTCAAAAATTCAAGTCTTCCTTAACTAAGGGTATTACATGTTCCGTTATACATTGTACAAAATAAAAGAAGGATAACATAAGTAAAAGAATAGTTTATTTATGCCGAAATAAATGAATAAATAAATAAATAAAACATCAGGTATGATGACTTTTTTGGGCACGCATATATATTTCTGTCCCTTGCTCACAGGTTTCGCTCCGGAAAGTGAGCAAATACGTAACCTCCGAAGTATTGAAGTTGTTTGGCTCCTTACTTTACAAAACAAATGTAGCTCTAAGTAACAGGATTTTCAATATTTTAAAAAGGATCCAACAAAAAATTACTGTAACTAACTTTATTGTGGCATTTATGGAAATAATTGAATATCCTCAGGTCAAAAGTCGCGCGTTTTAAAAGCTGAATATTAAGAACTGTTGTATATTTCTGTCTGTCAGTCTGTCTGTTTAATCGGTAATGTACATGTATGCATGTCTGTTTCTCAGTTATACATTATCACAGATGCCAACATCCTTTTCAGAAAACATACAAAAGATTGCCCAGGAGAGCTATCACATGAATTTATCGGATTACTACACAAATAAAAATACATGTATCTCGATACCCGAGAGTTCCATCTCCTGATGTCAAATGAGGGGGGCCAACGGCATGATTTTCCGATCGATACAGAAAATTAAAAATAGGGGGATTTGTGGCGAACAGTTGGTGATGTTATTGAGTACGTGCTATACATGTGATAATGGCATCTGGTTCAACTGCACTTCGATACACAAAATTCTGTCATAAAGAGACATGTTTGTCGACTTTGTAATTCCTGTTTCCTGTGCGTGTTTTTCAAAAACAGCGGCAATTTTTCAAACGTACCTTCATTCTTTAACCCATATCGGAAGCTACATTTGATACGGACGTTTAGTTTAACATTTACATGTACTTTCACGAAGAATAGCCAGAAATAAATGATATTTTTATAAGGGGTCCAATGTAGCCGTCGACGATGGGATTCGAACTCGTGCCCACCATCACACCGGTGTGTGCCCGACATTTTATACCTCGCTGTCAACCAGTGCGAACAAAGACAAACGGTAAACACGTCATTCAACAAAAGACACAAATATTATAAGGCCAAAAATATGTATTTGTTTCAGGTAGCATGCCTTATAAATAGAGTAGGTCGGCAGGAAAATTATTTTAATTTAATGGGTTTTTTTTATTTTCGTGATTTGATATTACGCTTTATTTCAAATTTTACAATACATTTCCCCACATTACAATGGCTGTCAATTTGTCGAGAATAAGGTCAGACCCCCGGAATAGGAAGAAAGTACATTTTAATGAGCTGCGATGAACTTTTGCTGGCAAATGAATTAATCTTAGATACAAGTAGGTGATACAATATTTAGGGTCGGCAGTAAAATCTAGGGTAGGTCGGGATACTTGAAACACAAAATATTTTGTTGGACCTATTTTTTTTGGTGAAGCAGGGGAATGTATCAGAATATCGAGATCGCCTATTCAGATGAGCAATGCGTTAGTCCCCCCAAATTATCCCTTCACACTGCCTAATACCCTCCCTTACCTTATCAAAACCCCACGCCTTCCAGGAAATGAAATTTTTAAAAACTAACGTTCTCAGAGTACAATATTGTAATGATACAACATTTTGTAGTAAAAGTGCATAATCTGTTTGAAGAAAATGTTCAAAAACACAGTTACTCATGCATGATACATCTGTCTTATTTGCAAAACATGTTTCTAAAGTACACGCAATCTCTGCACCGGAAGCCAAGGTTACATCCACTATATGTCAAAGGAAGAAAAATAAGTATATACGCTAATGAAACGGCAAAAATAAACAAAATAAATTCCTGTTGACATATTGTAATTGAGCTTGTATGTTGTAACGTTACGAGCTAAAATATCTAATACACTTCGTTTCGTTTTTATTTCGTGTGCCGTATTTTTATTTATTTTTTAACGGCCAATGACAACCCGCGTTACATCTTCCATGATTTACCTGTTATTTATCAGAACATGATTTTAGCACACCGAGTATATCTCAATTAAGAGCAACGATAGACCAAAAAACAACCATTGGAAATTATTTTAGTCACAAAAGGTGTTCGGTTATCGTTTTGGTCCCTAGCAACACCGATTAGCCCTAGAAGGACGAAACAGCTATATGGTGCAGTGCGATTCAATTTTGAATCATTGTATCTACTGTAAAATCATAAATTTTCGTGGGACATTTAATTTCGTTAAATTCGTGGATAACAAAAATCCACGAAATGAAATCCCCAGGAAAACATTAATTTGGTATGATATAGATAGGGGAAAATCAGAAATCATCGAAATATAGTGTCATTGAAACAGGCAAATTCAAACAATAAGTTTTCCACGGCATGCGTCACACGTTGCCATGGTGAAGCGTGTAGCATGGATTTTCACGCAGAGAGCGAAGGTGAGCGTTACCCCTGGATATCGAGAGTGAGCAACCAATAGATCTTTGATATAATGGAGATTTAAAACGAGATACATGTATGTAAATTGTTACTTTCCTGTCTTGATAAAGGCGCGGATCGCCCTGAAAATTTGACATTTTTTGTGTCTGCGCTGTCATTATTACTTCTTTGCCCATAAATCTATTTAAGTAATACACATCCAACCAACATTTGTTTGTTCGGATCCAGTGCCGATATTGGACCATACTGTCGTTATTACTTATGAGAACTATACCTATATTACAGAGAGTCTGTCTTCGGCTAACGTTAGCCCCCTCTGCTATTGTTTTCAAAATATTTTAGCACTATCCTTTTATATTTCTAATATTGTTTTTATGTAATGAAAAAGTATAGCGGATTGCTCCGAAAATTTGACAACATATTGGTTGTCTAGGCTGTACGTGTGCAAGGACCCAGTGTTATTCGGGAAGCAACCGTTAATATTGCTTCTTTAATATAAACTTTATTTCATTTTTTTGTGTATTTTTACGGTATGATGTAAAGAAATAAACAAATGTTGACATCGGACTCGGAAACAAGTTTTACAACTTGTATAGACCCATCTCCAGTGGAAGAAATACATATGAGATTTGAGGACCACATAGTTTATGACTATAATATTTGAGAACGAAATATGCAGCAATGCGTTGAGTATGAGTATAAAACGGAAACATTACTTCTTTGACTCTAGCCTGAGTTTCCTCTGGCCTTAACACCAGACGTTTTGACAGATAGATTTATCGTTATATGTG